GGGTCCGGGCCGGGGTCCCAGCGTGGCTCCGGCGGTGGGACCCCGCGGCAGTCCGCCCCGCTGCTGCGAGTCCGAGAGGGTGAGCAGCTTGTAGAAGCCCTCTCTGGTCCGGAACTGTGATTTAATATCATTGATATCCTTCAGAGCGCCGCCATCTCCGGCCATTTTTAGTACAAACAAGCCGCACAGGAAACCGAGGTTTTGACCTGGAAATAATAACGGCGCAATGAAAAGTACTAGAATATACAGATGAGAGGCGAGCCGAGCTGACCAAGGCCGACCAGCACGCCCGGTCTGCTCCAGTACATTTTACGGCAGCACCGGTGACCAGACCGCTGCTACCTGGAAAATAAAGCCGCAGAGAAAGACACTCGAAGCCGGCGTAAGCATCATCCTGCACGGGTCTCTGCCTCTGTTCATCCAGTGTGCGTAAAGTACGTGTGGTGACGATCCTGATGCTGCTGATGCTGCTGCTGATGATGCTGTGGCCCGGCCCCGGCCTGACTGCTGCTGCGCAGCCGTGCGTGTGTGTCGTAAAGGGTTAAAGAGAGGGCATCTTTGCGCGCCTGCGCAGTAGTCAAAGCCTACAAATCTGACAAAGCATACAAATCCGACATAACTACCAGCGAGCAGTTCGTGTTCACAGAGTCTGTTACCATGGTGACTGACTCAGAGTTGCCCACATCTCAGGGTAAACTTAGTCTGAGTTTTCACATAACCCGCTTTCTGGGGCTCCTCCCCTCCTCCCTCCCCAGGTGAGTGCACACGTTTGTGTAAACGTCATTACGAATCGTCAAACAGAGCTCAGGAGAGGCGTTATTTATTATAATTATTCATTAAAACCACACGGTCCGGTCGTCTTTTATAGGAAACATGAGCTGTTTCATCTGCTAGTTGTATTGTAATGTAATGTAATTTTTTCTATATATTTTTTCTAAAAAAATTCTAAATCATTTCTATATTTTTTTGAAATAAGAATTTTAAGAAACCTAACAATTAAAAAACATAAACATTATTAATTATAAAATTGTAAGAAGACGCTCTGCTTAAAATACACTGAATAGGCGTTTTTTTTTTCAACAGGAAGACTGGAGGTTTGCAGGCAACAGCAAAGCATGATGGGTGTTCACACAAGTGTGCAGATGTATTTATGAGATGTAGATTTTGTCAGGATTATTGGTTCCTCCAATGCACATGCAAGATATTTCTATCTATTATGCAACGCCATCATTGGACTGGAGTCATGAATAGACACCTGACTTGATCAAGAACTTATTTTTTTAACTTTTTTTGTGTGAAAATGCAGCAAATCAGACCTGGATATTTGGTGCTGACTTCATCAAGAACTAATTTTTTACTTTTTTTTGTGAAAGTGCAGCAAATCAGACCTGGATATTTGGTCAAACTGATACCTTTTCATAGCAGTACTGGGTTAGGAGTAACAGAAACACAACACTCCTCTGGTCTGAAGTGCGTTACTTCATTTTCATCAATGACTTTTTTTTCCATTCATCCTCGACCTCAGTTGACCGTTTACAGTAAACACCACTGACAGTTCTGCTTTTCATTTCTTGGCATCTCACGTGCGTACTTCTCCATTTGGTCAAACTGGACTTACTCTTATTACTCACACACACAGACACACACACACACACACACATACACACACAGTGGTCTACGTTCACGGTGTGGGAGGGACGATTAAAGAGGCGTGGTCAGAGAGAGACGGAGGGAGGAGCAAAGTGGAGAGATGGAGAGCAAAAAGAGAACAGGGAAAAGTTAAGGAGAAGTTCAGTGCCACCTGTGTCTGTAACTGTAACAGCAGCTCAGTTATTGTATAAATTGTATAAGTAATAAAAGTTCTGAAAAGCAACGAGGTCTCTGTTTGGTTTGTATTTTTAAGGATATTTTTTGTTAACGACAAGATGTATGATTTATGTAATAAAAGTTTTAAAAGTTAAAACATAAAAAAGTCTAAATCCCTGAAAGAAAACGGGAACGTAGGAAACAAACTTAAGCTCAATAATTCTGGTGTTAATATTCAGCCGATCAAAGCAAATTAGAGCAGAGCCCAAATAACGTGACAAACTTTGACGGAAACATCTTAATAATTATTCACAATTGTGCAATATCATTATAAAACACAGTAAAATCATCATAAAATCAATACATTATATAACCATCAGGAAAACATATGTTACATTCATGGTCAGAGGAGGTAAAAAAAAATACAGAAACTGCAGTCAGCACATCAACACTGACAATTTAACCCGTGAATCTGTTTTTATGTGTGTGTGTGTGTGTGTGTATTTCACAATCATGCTTCAAATCAGTCCTAAAACCTCTACGACTGTACGTCAATTTGATTTTGACAATAAACACATTTTGTCAGTGTTCAAGCCACACATTTTAAATGAGAGGACCAATGCTGCTGCTGCTGCTGCTGCTGCTGCTGCGCAGGAGTCACAATTAGAAATGGAGTAAAACAAGGTTGCCCTGGAAACAATGGTCTCTTCATGTAGAAAATCAACCCCAGCTCTGACGGGAAACAGACCACGTCTCACGACTCTGAAAACTCATACTAATGTGTTGCGTTTTGTGTGTGTGTTTAACTAAGTGAATGGTATTTTGAAAGAGCCAACACTGACCTGTTTCATGATACACCACAGTACAGTACCTGACTCTCTTGGACATTGGGGAAAAATAGTATATTATTTTGAATATAAACATAAACTCATACCACTTTTTTATATCACTTCCAGTATAATTACCAGAAATGAGCCTTTTAACTGTGTAATAAATAAAAATAGAATAACAATAATATTAATTCAGCCATTTCTGGTGTTGTAGACTTACAGACTTATTTTGGCCTATATTTTGTATTAGGAAAACAGAAGTAGACCATCAAAACTGAAGTCCAGCTTTTTGCTGAAGTAAGACGTCACAGCCTAAAGAGACGGCGTCTCAGACAACAACCCAGACACTGTGTCGGAGCACGGAGTAGAAACACGATCGAAGAACAAGGGGAAAGAAAATGTACAATAAGTGAGATAAACACATGTAAAGGTGTCTTATAGGAAACCGATCGGTGTTGCATGACATTTGTAATGATATTTTGAGCAATCTGCCTTTAAAAATGGAGCCTTTAAAACTTGACGGGTGCAGTCCATCCATACAGGCCACTCCATCCATTTGATTTTGTTAATCGACACAAGACAGAGGGATCTGAGAGAAAAACAATGTGTTCACAGGAAGTCCCTCCTTCTGCTGTACAATTCACCACAGTCCTGACTGATGTCAATCAGAGCTCATCTGTTTCTTCTAAAATAGCATATGACCGGACAGAGCGTCCTGACTCTGGATGAGCTGCGGACGACCAGAGAAAGTGCCGGCAGCACAGGAGTTTTTAGGTTTTCAGTCATCGTGTGATGTGCAAACACTACAGCGCTTCAACTGTCAGTCAGATCGTACTGTCGACTGTGGGCAGCTGCAGGCCTTGGGTCAGAGGTGTAGTCTGGGTAGAACCTGACAGTCGGTTAATCAGGTGTCTTTGTCGTCACTGACACGAAGAAGCCGCACGCCTCCATCACTGATCCTGTCTCCGGGTCGTGATGGCTGCACCTCCTCGTAAGGAGGAGGCGGTGGGTTGTCTGGGCTTTGGGAGGACAGGAGGGGGCTGTAACTGCCATCGCACTGATGGCTGAGAGACAACTCCTGAGACACTGGAGCCTCCTGGGCCATGAGGAGCTGAGTGGGTCCTGGCGCTGAGCAGGGCGGGAGCCGCTGACCCCAGCTGCCGTACACCGCCTCCTCGTAGGTGGGGAGAGAGACAGGAAGTCCATCCACCATCAGGTCCAGCTGGTCAGAGGAACGTCGACTGAGAAAGACAAAAAGGGTGAGGGAGGGAGAGATTAGAGTAAAGTAAGTTCAAATAATAATAATAAAAAATTTAGAGTTTAATTAAAAATTCACAAGTAAGTTCAAATAATAATAATAAAAAAAAAATCTATTTTGCAGTCCAATTTCTCCTGTGCATAAACATTTTCTCACCAGGTATGATCACATAATTGATCACATAATATCAATCATTTGGAAGCTGTTTGGAATCGTTTTTGCTGCAGTACCATTGTTGGCCAGCAGGAACTAGAGAGAACTTTTCCAGTACTCCCTTTACAACTAGACACTACATCTTTACATCTTTATTCTGTATGTGGTGAATTCATACCCATGTGAGTGACAGGGGTAGAGGCGGGACTTGATAACAAGGCAGGCAGTGGTGGTGAGGAGGAAGATGGACACGCCCACCGCCGTCGTCGCCATGCTGGGCATCGAGTCATGTGATCTGTCTTCCACGTTTATTTTTCTAAATTCTGCAGAACAGAGACATGAAGACATGATGATGATGGAGAAGTGGAGCTGCAACAACCTTAACCGTTAGAGTCCAAAGTGAGAGCTTTATGGGATAAAGAAATCGTTCGAAATCATTGACTTTATTCCAGCTGGAGTTATTTATATAAATATTGTTTAATTCTTCTTTAAAAGCATAAATGAGTTGAACTTCCAGTGTTACGGTGTGATTTGAAAACTTCCTATGTGAAAAGTGAGCGTTGAAGCTCCACCGAAGGAAAAAAAAACTGTGATACGTAACCTATTTGTGAATAAAATCAGTGACAGGAAGCACATTTATTTTAATTGTGTTATGTGGTCGGTGCCTGTGATGATATGGAAGTTAATTTCCATAAGTTCGCCGCCGCTCGTCACAGAGGAAATGTTTAATGGTTATTATGGTGTCTCTGCCCACTTCCTCTTTCTGCGCTCCGACTTCCCGTCACAGCACTTTTCATTGAACACATACCGCGTCAACTCACACGACAAGGGCTTCTGGTTGTGTATGAACAGTTAGTCCCAGAACTAAAACCATTATATAAACATGAAACAATGAGTCGCCGTTAACTCAGCTGTTCACATCATGACTGAGATGAATCATGAGTGAAGCGCTAACCCGTGTGGTCACAGGGGAATATTGCAGTGAAATGTCAGCTTGGTCACAAAGGAAGGGGTTTAATGTCACCTTTTTTTGGTTGCCTTTACAGTGCAGTTTCTCCACAGGCTGATCACACACACTCCTGACCTGATTCACGGACTTTCACATGACTTCCATCATGACCTAACCGTACCCTCAGTGAATCACTGGAGCTCTGACTGGCTCGTTCACCAGTCACCTCCCTGGCTTATCTTCGTTCATATCAGTATTTTCACTTTCAGTTTTGTAGAAACCTAAAGGTGGCGTGGCAGTCAGCTGCTTGTGTCTTACTGCGGAGAATTCCCTCTTCTTGGTAAAAAATTTACTAGTAATCGTGTTTCAATCCAATAAAGTTCAACTAGGCCTCACATCATTCCAAGAAACTCATTCAATGACTGTATAATTGATTATAATATATTATGATAAGAAAATATTAAAAAACTATTTTTAAAACTTTTCTACAGCTGAAGGTACTGATCAACATACAGTCAAAAAAAACTTCTTAACCAAAAAAGACTTTATCATGATTTTATAGGACTCATTACAACAGATTGTAAAAGGTTGAAGAAATTAGCCTAGCTCTGGTTTAGCCAAACACATGGACGATGGACCTAATTAAACCTCATGCAATGTATTTTAAAATGAAAGTAAAAAATTCAAGGCCCGACATCTCACCTCTAACGGGAATACAAGCAGGAATCGGGGGCTGCCACGTGCCCTGCCGGCACCTGGACACTCGGGCCTTGGTGATGTGGTAACCAGGCTCACAGAAGAAGTGAAGCGAAGTCTTCGGTGGGAAACCTCGGCACGGAGACGGATCACAGCGGAAACCTCCATGCTCTGGTACCAGAGGGTGAGTGCAGTTATTCAGCCTGCCTGCAAAAAAAAAAACACAAAAAGCTCCAGCATGACATCTTTGGTAAATCCATCGATGGATGTTTCATAAATAATGCAACGTCAGTTATTTTATGAATCCAATAAATAATGCAACGTCAGTTATTTTATCAACAATAACCTATAAAGCTACATATTTCCATTCAAAACGCTGTGGTCATTCACTCAGTAGGAAGCAGCATCAAAACGTGGCCCGCAGCCGACTTCTGCTTTCTCAACAGGCAGCCTTGCCAAACATGAAGAGATTTCAACTTCCTTCATTGCACTCCCATAAATGTCCACATCTGCAGAATTTTAATATCCACTTCCTCAACCATTTCCTTCACCACAACCACATGCACATCAAGGTCTGCGTTTCTTCCATTTTTTTAAGTTTTGTTCTTCTACAGGACTGTGATGCGCTAAGAAACACTGCGACTCGCTTTAACCGGTCAACAAAAATGTGTCAGTTAAAAAAAAACATACTTCACCGCAAACGAAACCTAACAGTAACACAGTGAGAACAGTCTCACCAGACCAAAGTATAGCCTGTGTTCACACATTAACAAACACCTCAACACTGTTGATTTCTTAAGCATTTTATTTCCAGTAATGTTCAAATAAAACTCTTGTTTGTTAGAATCCTGTTTCACGCTGTTCCATTTATATCAAACATTTATATTGTACCAGTGTACACAACTAGTAGACCAGTGCTTTTAAACTGTGTTGAGAGCGCCCCCTGCAGGGTAGGGAGGAATGCGCTGCAAAACTCCATGAAAGGATGTTGATGAACTAACAAGGCGAGAGTCCATACCTGCAGTGAGGAGTGGTGAAGAGGCCATGAGGAGCAGGAGGTGGAGTCCACAGATCACACTGACACGTCCACATGACCCTGGACGCAGGACTGACGTCGACATGAACCCGATGTTCCTGAGGACACAGTAGAGATCAGGGTGAGTTCAGTCAGGGAGCAGGAGAGTCACTCTCTAACCGTGAGGCGTGACGTACGACAGTGTGTCTGGAAAGTGACATCACAGCTGTGAAGATGAGCGTCTGTGTGTCCTCAGCTGTGAAGTTTTTGTTTGTTCTAATCCTCAGGAGGCCGACGGAGCAGACCTGCTGCTGGGTTCCTTCACACCTTCACTGGCTGCAGCAGCTGCACCCACACGACCGTCATGACGACTGACGCGGCAAAAAAACAGGCACTTTAACCTCTGACCTCTTCAGACTAGAGAGTGGAGACGAGACAACGCCGTAAACCAACACTTTGTTCTATCTTCACCGGTCTGTTCACATCATGACTGAGATGAATCATGAGTGAAGCGCTAACCCGTACTTTAGGGTGTGGTGCAAGTCAAATAAAGATCGCCGTACACCCCCACTGGCACTACGTACAGTACTGAAGCTGACCTGGTTTTTAAAGCAGCGACATTTTATAAACATTCTTAGACAAGAATCCGTACATTTTCAATTTTCTTGAGGAAAATAATTCACAAAAAACATTTTAAGACTAAAATATGTGAAATCAGTTTAAGACATAAAGTTATGAGTATCCCAGCCCGTGGGCAGGAAGTAACCATGTCACAGAATGTAAATTGCACATTCGTTCCATGACACACTTTTGAATTTCCCACAGGGGAATTCTGAGACCGTGGCTCACCTTTGAACCTGTTGTTGAATAACTTGTCACAACCAACGATTCAAAACGTAGTTAAATATTTTCACCTGTGGTATTTGTATTTCTGACAGAATTTAAACCAGGGGTCACCAACGTGGTGCCCGGGGTCACCTGGTTGCCCCCGTGGACTATCTAAGGTGCCCACGGCGTGTGTTCTAGAAATGAAACCAGTCAACAAGAGGGTAAAAAAATGTCATGTTTAAATCAGTTACACCTGCAACTACAGTGGTAACAAGAGTGTCTGCTGTTGTATGTCTCAAAAATGTTTTATTATTATTACATTTTTCAGGAAGTCTGTATCAAACGAGCAGCTCTTTGTGTTACTAAGTAGCCTTGAAGCCCTGCTTTAAACAGTAAAAGCCAGGATACGGTGCAGGAGTGGTTAGTGTTCTTGCCTTACAGCAATCAGTTTCCTGACGATCCTACAGACTGTGGATGACACGTTCTCCTGGTCTGTGTGAGTTTTCTCTGCGGACAAGGTCTCCTCCAGCCATTCAAAACAACAGAGATTGATGGTTAGGTTCATTGACCACAGGAGTGAATGTGAGCGTGAATGGTTTTGCTGCACCCTGGCCTCTGGACTTCAAAAATAAAAAAATTAAAAGTCTGGACATTTCCACTCCTCGCGCTGAGAATCTGAGCAAAATTAACAAAGAATATTAATAAAACAGCAGACCGTGAAACTACTCACTACTTCACATAGTGTTTCCATCTCCTTCATCCTCCTACTGTAACTCATCTGCAGTCTTTCATCGAGAAGCAGTGAAAGAGCTCAGCGGTTTAACACGGATCATATTGACCAGTATGTGCCACCAATGGCTCAGCAGTAAGAACCACAAGTAGTCAGACTCTGTCTCCAAATGACTTGCACCAGCCTACACACACACACTTCCTGTGACAGACGAGTGCCAAAAAAGTCAGAGCTCTGCAAGAGCATGAGACCAAATGCCAACCTGTGTGTGTGCGTGTGAGAGAGACAATGCTGTGTGTTCTGCCGGTTTAGTGAGTCTTTGCTGCGTTAATGTCAAGAGAGATGCCAGTCATCCCGAGAGCAGCGGGGGAGAGCCCCCCACCCCTCACACACACACAGACACACACACACACAAAGATTTATTTTTTGTGACTATAAACTGTGCAGGACGTCTGAGTCTTGATCTGATCCTTGGTGATATTCTTACCTTTGACACAATAAGGGAAAAGAACGTGTTGTTTTTCAACAGTTTGCGTATGCGTGTAAAAATAAGATGTGACGCATCAAACTCTGTGCAAAGATGACTACAAACTTATTATGTTGGCAAGATGTAAATGTCAGTTTCCTACTGTTCTCGTGGGAGTTGATGAAAATTGGCGGTGCTTTGACAGCTGATGGTGACAACGAAGGCCGGAGGAGAACTGTATCATCCTCTCTACAGGGGAAACAGATTGAATCCATCTTTAATTCTTCTACTGCAGCACGGGAACCAATAATGGCATTTGTAATTTTTTTTTAATTTAAATACTGACATGGTAGAATATAGAGAAAGTATTTTTGTCATAATGGCTTGTACCAAACAGCCTTCTGTGTTTAAATTCTCTTTCTTGGTAACATTTTCTGGCACACAGGAAGAGATATATTTTGTGCCTCCACACGGGAATTCGTTGAGGACGTTGTTGGTGTTGAGGGCAACGGCATGGGGTAAGAGATTAAAAAAAATAGATAAAAGATAAAAAAAAGAAGATGGATGTCCTGATTTAACACTCTGGCCTGTTTACAATAAGACAACAACCAGCCGTGACAGTGACAGCCCACTGACACAGTTACAGTCCAACCGGTGGTCTGTTATATTTAGATTCTCCCCCACATCTGAAAGTCTGGCTGATCAGTAGCTGCGGACGTGACTCTGAACTTTGCTCTTTACGCTTTTCTGACTATGCAAAGCAAACAGGTTTGAACGGACTAAATATTTTCTAAGTTATTAAGAAATGACCCAGAATTTCGGAGGGTGCATGAAGTGAACACATCCACACTTTAGGATGAAGGAAACAGCCGAGTGAATGGAACAGAAAGTGAAGGATGTCACTCTGCTCAGTCAGCGCGCTGTTTGGTGTTTGTTAAGCTCAGAACATTCAGGATACACAAAGAACGCACACAACACACACACAGCGCACAGAGGAAATGCTGATGTAGCATTAACAAACAGGTGACAGTGTGTGGATGGAGGCAGGGTGAGACGTGTGTCACCACTGTCTCTATTTTCTTCGTACTGCATTTCCTATTATCTTTATACCACGTATCCCGCCGACCTGTCACGTCCCTGTTCACAGTGAGTTCTTGTGGAAGGACTCACTGTACTTGAATAAACCCATAAAATCCTACAGCCTATTAAAACAATCAATTTGCCCGGACGGAGAGAGAGCATATTGATTCATGGAAAGCCGCCGGTTCAATTCAATTTGTTCAACGGCTGCACAGCAATAATTGTTCATATCAATTCTGCACAGCACAGCAATAATTGTTCATATCAATTCCATTTAACACTTTAGTCTGAACCTCATAAAACCAGAACTGGAGGCTGAATATTCACAGACTGAGCAACTGTTTCACCGCTTGATCTAATCAGCCAATCACAAGACAGCAACTCAATGATTTCAGGCATGAAAACCTGACCTGGAAAAACTACTAATAATTAAGAAAAATTGTTTAATTGACTTTGAATTTGACGGGACAGACTAATGTCAATAAATCAAAAACATCTGATATTTTACCACAGAGTGGTCCAAAAATAAACAAACAAATAAAGCTCTGATATAAGAGGTTGACAATTCTAGTACAACAGCTTGTGACTAATTACTCAATGCAGAATAACTGTCCTTACTGACTGATGAATGTGTCCTTAAAGGGATAAGTAAAGTTTCATGGAACTGATGAAGAATACAGCCGTGACTAAAGTGTTGATGTGGGACAACGAGGACGTGTCCGACTCCAGTCCTTTATCTGGGTCAAGTTGTGCCAGTTGATGTACCTAACGAAACGAGTCACTACTCAAACAAACATGTTACACGTTTGCGGAAGGTGACCATCGAGAGTCGACCACGGTGCCCCAAAAAATATGTGGCCTGTACGCTTAATCCCTTAGAGCTCAATCCAGCAAAAGAAATTAATTATAATGTGGCCTGTATGCGAGCTCAATCCAGCAAAAGATATTAATTATAAAAAAAAAAAAAAAAACAACCCTCAAGTCTATAAATCGTCAAGATGCAAAGAAGGTAAAACAGAGACACACACTGGAACCAATGAAAAATAAATGAATTAATCTTGACAGAAAACATGTTTTTAAACATTTTACACACAAATATATCAATATACTAATACTGAAACAAAGACAAGAGAGGCGTTAAATGTTAAGCTGCATTACAATTCCTGGTATGTCTTAATATGGCATTGTTAATGTAAAATTATATAAAAATGTGTCGTCGTGGCCCATTCACTGTCATAGAGCAAAACAAATCAATAAAGAAAAAAAAAGAACAATTTTTAAAAAAAATAAACGCGTGGTGAGGTTGAATTATAATAAATAAAAGTCACAGTGAGTATTTAGAGTATACGGTTTCAGTACTAAAAAAATAATTCATTTCAAAATAAATAAATAAAGGGAAATCTTCGATATTGTCTTCAACACCAGGCGGGTGTCCCGGGAGGGGGAGGGGGGGGAAGCCTCAGGGACAGCGAGACAGTGTCAGTGTAAAAGAACAGAGTGAACCAGACAGAAGACTGACTATAGTAATGTACACTAACAACATCGTTAGTGTGAACACGTCGAGTTTTTCTCAGAAGGTTCCGTGATGTTCCTGTGATTATCAACTGTGACGTTTTCATCAACCCAAAGTCACGATTTTCTTTTCTAGCTTTAATACGTATTTAATATGTATTCATCCGTGAATCAATTCAACAAATCACACCGAGAGATTTTAATAAAGATGACAAAAAATAAAAATAAAAAACAACAAAAATCCTAGAAGCAGGCAGCGGATTCCCAGCTCCCATTAAAGTTAATTCGATAAAACAGGGATAAATAAATGTGTATTTGAACCGCGCAATTAAGAACACAAACGGTGCTGTTCTTACCTGGAAACCGTGAACACAGCAGTAGAGTTTACGCCTGCGTTGAAGCGGAGAAGAATCCCGGTGATGTGTTCACGGACAGATGTAACATCGGCAGAGAGATGGACAGAGCTGAGTGTTTCTCCGACGGCCGCTGCTGGCGCTCAGCAACAAGTGGAAGCTTTTCAGCAGCTGCTCTCTGACTCATCGATCAGCTGTGTTTGACAGCGACAGCCGCTGATCTGATTGGCTGAAGAAGGAAACCAAACCCCGCCCCAACGCCTCCTCCCTCCCAACCACACTCATCGATACTATTGTATTTACCTTTAAAAAAAAGCAGTCTCATAATTGTGAAATTTCCGTGGTATTATTTAAAATATTTTCGAAGTGATAGAGTTACAGTAATACAAGAGAAACTACTTAAAATGAAGAAAAAAAAACATTTTTATAAAATTATA